GGGCTGGTCCAGGGTTAATTAAGAGCTCAAGTCCCCCCCTACACACACACACACACACACAGGCCACTGGAGCCAAGCACAGATTAGACTCCCAGCACTGAGTATGGGCAAGTACCAACAATGAGTTCCACAAACATAAACAGACATAATCTAAAACATGCACTCTCAAAACACATGTGCGACAGGAGCATTCCTCCAACTCTCAAAAACACACTGCATAGAAAGAAGAGGATTACATTTAAAACATTTACTCCCTTCCTGTTTGGCTAGATCCTCCAGGCAGTTATGCAAGAAGTCATAAACGAACAGTGCAAAATGACCCTCTTCCCATAGTTCACCTGTGCAGAGGCATGTCCCGCCTTAGGGAAGGATCAAACTCATTAGTCTAAAATGAAGTCAGCATTAGATGAGCAGACAGGGAGGACAAGGGAGTAATGTTCCCATCATTCTCAATACATGTCCACATTCTACCACAGACTGGCCTCAAGCAACAAACTTTCTTTTTAACCAGTGGCTGACAGCAGCCAGCATCTTAAACAACAGACTTGATTGATTAGCTTTAATCAGTGCTAACTGTAGATCATGTAGAGTGACATCTATGATGAACAGTTTACGCCAATGTGTTTGTAATTTGGTTTGCACAATTTGTGGGTAGGATACAACATTTTATAATGATACAAATTTGAATAAAATTTCCATTTATTACAAAACAACACTCCCTCCCAAGATGAGAAGCAAAAAGACTGAATGTGCCTTTATGCTATACCTCTTCCAAAGCAGTAATAATCTGATTAGAAGAGCTCTACCAGTCTCTGTATAGGACTGTTTTCATCTACACATGATAGCCTAATCAGGGAGACAACCAGGCTATTGAGCTGCAACAGAAAGTGACACTCAAGCCTTGTAAACTCCCTGTGGGGGATTTTGGCTTATGTGAACTCTGGATTTCAGGGGCTCAAAAGCAGCATTCCACACCTGAAGATGAATGATGTCATTTGTCACAGTAGATATGCATAGACACGTATGCTTTTCTAGGTCTAGGTGAGCTATGAGCTGTAGTAGTCCAGGTCAGGTTTCCTCAGTGAGGTGTCACGTTTGGCCTTGACCCAGTTCCTCATTTTTGATCACTCAGAAACAGGGAGCAGGGTTGCTCCTCTGGCTATAAAAGCGTGGGAAGCCCAGGTACAGGCCGAAGCTGGGAGTGTCCCACTCACCCGATCTGCAGTGGGCTGTCATAGAGGCAGACAACCTGAAATCTAACACCACACACTGTGTAGGGATCACAAGACCTGACAAAACACTCCTGCCTCAGTTATCAATAGCCACACCGTTTTGGGGTTTTGACAACAAAAACTATAGAACTGAATAAAGAAGATTAAAAACCCTTTCAATTATAACAAGTGGTTCACACATTAGTTAAGCAGATGGCTTGGTAACGAAAGTAATAAAGTATATAAAGTAATAAAGTATATAAACTGAAAGCAATGTTTGACAAAACACTGGCAAATAAAATTGAATATATAAAAATGAAAAAGAACAATATGAGTTACAGTTGTTTTTTGTTTTGTTATTGGCGTTAATTGACAACATTGTAATCTCACAGCCCCTTCTGACCAACTCCCCGCACAGCCTGGTATCTCCCACATCACTATAACAACCAGGGAGCGTAATGCGCCACAATAACCCCCTCTGGTCCCATTTATCCAAGAACACATCTGAACCTCTCCCGCAGCTACAAAAAGTTTAGGATAAGAACACTTCAAACTGTGTCTATAGAGTAGAAGAATATTTGACTTACCCTGCTCATAGTCGCCCACGTTATCCCGCAATCCACCTTTTCTCAACATCAACAGAGCTGCAGTTTTTGCGCTTTTGTTGTTTATCCATGGTAAAGTCCCCAAACTCGCTCCATGGCGCAAAGGTTTTCCACCTCTCTCACTCACCGCCGTGTCGCAGACTCATGCTGGTTACGGAAGAAATGCGTCTCCTAGTTTCACCGCAACACAGCCAGAGAAATGGCTGGCTCACTGCTTGAACACACAGAGTTAGCAACTTAGCATACGGCTCACTGATAAAACTTCTCCAGAAAAGCGAAACCTTGGTGTGGGCAAAATCAACTAAAAAAAACGCCAAGATAAGTATAAATATCCCAAATTACGAACTTAAAATGAAATCTAGCATACATTTAGTTGAGAAAAGATAACAATTCCGTTGTTGGTCCCCATTAAAAGTAGATCTTTCTTCTTGAGGCTTGACTTCACCAGCATCACTAATGCACTTGTTGCAGTGTTTGCGCGGGGGCGGGGCTTCTGTGGTCAAGCCTGTGGGCATTGGTTAACCACAGAAAAACCATTCAATTAAGACCCAATGAACACTCACCAGGTCTCAGTAACCCCGCCCCCAGACGCACTTCATTGAAGGGGAAAATAAGTGCTCCTGCTGCTATTCTGGAAGACAAAAAGACTGGACCTTCCAGATGCCGCTGCGCTCTTCCTCCTGTAGTGTGACTGTATCATACCAAACAATTACTCACAAGGTATTTGTTGTGTTCTGCCCATCCCTAAATACCAGAACAGCCCACAGGCTAAGTACTTTCTCTTTATTGGTGAGTCAAGAAAGTAAACAAGCCTAAATATAGACTAGAAGTAAAGTCAGGCTATATTTGACCATGCGAGAATAATTCACACATTCAACTGTCAAAAGATTTACCAGAGCAGAAACAATATTTATTCATCTGCAAAAATTAAAAACCCAGAGAAGGTGGTGTCATCATCTTCATCAGCAAAAAGTCCATTGAAGAGCTCCCCTCCAGCCACCTGCAGCCACACCTTGTCCCCAACTTCTAAGTGCAGTACAGCGCCTCCTGCCGCCTGGTCCTCGCTGCTTTGGTAGTTATCCATTGTATGGATGATCTTTGCCCCATTCTTAACAAGGGCCACCTTCACATTTCTGGAGAAAACGGTGATGTGGTAGGTGAAATAGTAAGCTCCTCTTACAGAGCATGTGAATCTCCCTGTCTGTAGGTCATAGTGATTCTGTACATTGTAAATAATCTTGTCAAACCGGATGGGTGCATTGGCTGCTGGGAGTTTAGTTTGTGCAGTGAGTCCCACAGAAAAAGCACTCTTAAATATTGCAAATGCTTCTCCTTTCTCACCCTTATCACCCTTATCACCTCGAGATCCTCTCTCCCCGCGATAGCCAATGTTGCCTTTGTGTCCAGGAACCCCAATTTCCCCTTTGGGCCCTGGACGACCAGGAGGCCCCAGTGGGCCCTGAATACCCCTGTCCCCTCTCAGACCAACCTCCCCTTTCGGACCCTCTGGTCCTGGGGGCCCAGCAGCCCCAGTAGGTCCTTGTGGTCCTGGCAGTCCAATCTCCCCTTGGTCTCCTTTAAGGCCTATGGGCCCCTGAACCCCCTGGGGGCCCATTTTACCTGGAGGTCCTTTTTCTCCATTGTCCCCCCTTTTACCTTTGAGTCCAGCTGGGCCAACGACACCTATAGGAAAGAAATACACAGAATAAAATTACATATGCAATGTTGAGATAAAATTCCTATTCATAATATATTTATAATTGATAAATACCATTGTCCCCTTTGTCTCCCTTTTGGCCATCAATTCCTTGTGATCCAATAGAACCAGTTTCTCCTAAGAACATATTCAATATTATTTTTGATACAGTTGTATTAAATTATAGAGACCCACCTTTATCTCCTTTCTCGCCTGTGAGTCCATCCCGGCCATCTCTACCTGGCATCCCATTGTGTCCTGGGTCTCCCGGTATCCCAGGATATCCACAAATACAACCTTTACTCTGAATTTCGTCTTGTGCAACACCTCTGACAGCAAACAGTAAAACCAATGTAGCATAAACTCTCAGATATAAAAGTTTGCTTTCCATTTTGTCACAAATGTGATATTTCACTTTGTGAGCAAGATCTGTCCAACATATCCCTATTCAAATCAAAAAGCTGTCACTGAAAATGAAGTGCACTATCCCAAAATACAAGAATGTGCTGGTCCTCAAGGTTTTTTTATTGGTGGGCTGAGTTTCTGGTTTACTTATTTCTTTTGACCCTGCCAGTTACACATCACCTATGTTCTAAGTAAAGGTAAATATAAACTAAGGTCTTAGAGGACATGCAAAGATTCACAGAGTGTCACTAGAGGATTTGTAATTTCACATACTCGCAATGCATATTTAATACTTTTTGCAAGCCAACTAAGACTCAAAGAATTATCAGAACAAAACTTTCCTATTTATTAGTCATTTTTATACACACGCTTGGCATTAATGGAGGCAGTCTGACTAGCTTTATCATGAAAAATCTGTCTGTTACCCGAGCGACTGTGCCATCATGTGCCCCTTTATTAGATTGTACACATGAGTAGACACAGGAGGGAGGGGCGTGTGGGAGGGGCCGGAGCATGAACCAGAGATAAGAGCAAAACCTTCATAAACACTCAAACACACGCACACAGTCAATCCAGCAATAAAAAGGGACATTGAGCAACATGATATGGACTGGCATTTAATTACATTTTCAAAATCAGTCAGAGTGACCACAGACATTTAAAGATGTATTCCAAAATATACCAAATAAGACACATTAGTGCACATTCAAGCAATATCTTATTTTCCACATGTCACCCATTGACAAATCATCTTGGCTACTGCACATAAATAAATAAAACATTATAAACAAAATATAACAGTGCATTGACTTAAATTCATTAGTTTTGCATGAGGTTAATTGATTAGCACCCATGTGTTGTCGTCATAACCAAGCAACATGTGAGGTCCTCAGACAAGATAGCAATATCATTCACTGGGTTTAACTGTATTATTCCAATGTGTGATGTTAAATACCTGCATTAACATCTATGGTAATACACAAAGCATGCTATGGCTTTTACAAGACTTATTTGGAAATCTTGGTGTGCCTGTGCATAAACTAGGCAAGAAAGTAACAGTGAACAGCATTGATTGGTGTTAATAATCTGACATCATTTAAAATATTTAGTTTAAAAAAGCAGCAATTCCAGGGAAGTTGAGGTTAGCATAGCGAGAGGAAGGCTTTGGGGCTACAACACTTGTGGTGTTAGTAAAAATAAGAGCTACAAGCAGAGGAGTTGTTAAATACGGTTAGGTAGTCAGAGTGGTCTTAAGTCTACATTATCTGACGATGCATACCATAGCCTGTCATACCGGACTGGGAAGCACCACGGTTGCTCCCCATTTGCAGCCCAATCAGGCTTTGGCCCTGGCGTAGCTGCTCCTCTGTGAACTCTCGTCTGTAGCCTTGGGATTTTCTACACAAACAGTAGAGGATACGTAGACACATTACACATACATTTACATATGTCCTTTTTAATATCAATTGTGAATGCATTTCCAAAAGTGTAAATGGTGACACATCAGTAGAGCCTACAGTGTAACAAAATCAGTTGCTCTTCAAGGATCTATTGGAGAGAGAATTGTTCTGATGCACTGATGAAGTTAAAAAGTAATCAACATATACCATACCAATGCGCTTCGACCTTTATAGGGTCTTCATCAGGGCAAAATGATAATTTTCTAAGCACTAACGTAGTTATACTTCATTGAACCAGGCACCGGAGGAAGATTTTGTGAAGTGTTTTTCCCCTAAGACATAATGACATTATGCCCTGATTAAAAGGGGGCTTGAACAGCCAGCTTTGTGGTTAGTGGTCACTATGACTTGGCTTTTTCAAATGTTACAAACCAATGGGTATTTTCAAGAAGCCAGAATTTTGTGTTTTGGGTTTGGGGCTGTAAGTGATCCTTTAAGTATATGTTTGTAAAGTTTTATTTTCATTCTACTTCTTATTTTTTCACTTAGATAAATTCAGTATGTGGCTATTGAGAAAAAGTATACAAACATCTGACTTCGTAACATTTGTCCTGGTCTCTGACTAGGGAATTGAAAGGTGCACTATGTAACTTTCTGGATGAGGTCTGCTGCTGGCTTATCTCCATGGAGATGATATTGTGTTGCATGGAATGAAATGCATAGCATTAAACATTTCTGTCATTCAGTTATGTTGAAGTTGAAGTTGCTCACTTCAGATCTGACCTGTCGGCCTGGTTGCATTTTGCTTGTCTTTATGGAGATAAAAAAGTTAAATGCTGTACTGTGGAACATTCGAGACCCATGACTAAAAAAGCTGCACTATGTATTTTTTAAGATACCTTTAAGACACTGATTCCTGATCAAATCATCCTTTTATGAAGATCTTCATAAGCTTGCATATTTTCAATAAATTCCTTAGTGCTCTAAATCATACAACTTTGTTGCTATTATTACTGCATCGTAACATGTCTACTCTCATTCTAGCATACTTGTACACACCACTTTGATAAATATACTCAACAAGACTAACTAATCATGTACCTTATAAACTTACTTGTGAAACCAGTCGTGATCTCCTTTGTAATGTCCATCATCTTTGGTCACAGCCAAACTCCCAAGAGCCATTAGTGTCCTTTGAACTGCGGCCATATCCTTTCCTAGCCAATTATATTAAATGTTAATCATAATAAATCTCAAAGTGTATAAATGAAATAAAAAACATGACTAACGCTGCCACGCTAAAGTAACATCACCTTCCCATAGATCCACAGTTTGAAAGATGTCTGTTGTGGTGACACCATAAGCTTCAGCAGCCTGGAGGAACTGTGATATTTTCTCCATTTGTTTGAAGGCCATCTGCGTCTCTGGGATCTTTTTGATGGGCTCCTTTCCTCTCGGATAAAGGCTGTTGATGAGTCGGCAGAGGATCTGGCACAAGGAAGAAGAATACACAAGCGTGATTACATTAAGCTGATGCACTGACTGAAGCAAAACGAAGCACAGCATTCTCAAAGGCAGACAGCTCATTTGTTCTGATTGGACATTATAAACTGACAAGTAAAGGGTTTAAGGTTTGTAAAGACATAAAACAACATAGTAAAATGACACCTCATCACAATAAAATTAGTAGGGCTGTTGTAAAATATCCTAAATTTAAGCATATACTATGGATGTGCTAACACTTGTAGAGGTTTTGTTTTGTTTTGTTTTTTCTGAGCCCAGGCTGGGTTTGGTCCAGTTCTAAATCTGGTTTAACCATGGTCTAGTCCAGGTTAAATCCTAGATTTAGTTAATTTTTTATGTCTAATTCATCTGCTAATCGGTTGCATGTCTGAAACAAAAAATAATTTCTAAACGTAATCCTTATGAATTGCACATTTGCCTTTACCATAAAATTCAGGTTTGTTTTCTTTAAAGCATTTACATTCAACTCTTAAAATATTACAGGTCTCTCTAGTCTCTTAATAATTGAACACCAGTCTATTTTAAGTGCCTGCACTGAAGCCACTTACTGTTCCATCCATCAGCCATTTTTGGAAGTTCTGTTTGCCCGGCTGTGGCTTGTCCAGGTTCCCCCCGCACTGAGCCATGATCCAATCCACCAGTTTTTGCTCTAAATCGGGATCATACTTCTGGTCAATTTTCTCCTGCACTTCTTTACTCAGTCCATAACTGGGCCCTCTGTTAGCCATGGCAGCCCTCTACCTGTTACACTAAATAGACCTGGAAGAAAGCAAAGATGGGGGTTAAGTGGACATCATCATGTTCTGTCTTTGCTGGGCCAGTGTCCTGACCTGGACCATCTGCAGAGAAGGGTGGGGTCCCTGGAAGCTGCTTCGCACAAGACACACCCTCTTTTGCTATGGTAACCAAGAGTCCAATGTGCCATGAGTAGTAGGCTATTGGCTGATGCTGAAAGTATGACCTCCAGTGGAAAGTCATGACGTGAATTAAATAATGTAATAGTGCCTTTGTAAGTCTAACCCAACCTATTACACGTTTCATGTTTCAAAACGTATACTGATACAGACTCTGTTCTATATTTAGGATTCACTGCAATAAGCACTGATCACATTAAGAGGCACATTCAAGATTTGAATGAACTACTGGCTACATTGTTCTGACTTTCCTTGAGGTCCAACTGTCCTGTTTCGGCACCTTGAATACATTTAAAACTACTGAATTTATCCAGCAGCACAACAGCTACATTCAGCAATTTGCAAAAAATGTTAAAACAGCCACGGGCCGTTGCGTAAAAATGTTCGCGTCCTGGCTGCGACACTGCGTCACGTATCATTAAAATACAAAACAAGCGTGTGTTCAATATGTACAGCTTACTTACTGCAAAGATATGTCTCCACACGTCCCGTTACTGTTTCAGTGTGCTCTCCTCCGAGCGGGGCAAGGATGAGGATGCTCTACTGCCGAAGCATCCATGAAGCGCAGCGGAGGCGCATCGGGCCACGCTGAGCTCAAATGGTCCGGGAGGGGCGAAACTCACGCTTTATATCCCTGAGTCCGGAAGGGGTCCCTAGAGAGGACCACAGCTGAACGCGACGTGACAACGCTCCCGGACAGTGGAATATTGGCCTATATACGCAGCAATCGGCAGAATCAATAACTGTGGCAACATCGATCTTTCTTGTGACATTTTGACTGTAGCTTACTATATTATATAAAACGATACCCTACCAATAGGAGTAATATAAATATATATTTTTTTATTTCTGTCCTTTTATTATGCCTACGGCTGTATCATACTCTGAATAGCCTTGCAAACATCATGGATATTCAACTTCTGGTCTTTCATTTTGGGTTTAATGTTAATTTACTTATCTTTCTGGCTGAATGGTAGTGTACACAAAAGAACAATGTTAAACATTGCATATGCACTGACCTTTTCCCTCATATATTGTTCATCAGACAGTGCTGTACCATCCCATAAATATGTGTGATCTTAGTGGAAGGACACAAAGACCACACACTACATAGATCATACATAAGTAAAGGTCGCCACACCAGTTAAGCAGACCTGACAGACTAACTGGCTGCTTTCAGATCACTGAGCATAATCATACTTGTAGTCAATTACTTGTTAATCATCAACAGTCCCATAGTCTTTCAGGAGGTATTTCGCTGGAAGTCCACACCACAGATATTTTTCTGCACCGCATGTTTAAATGCTGATTTTTTTCCCCTCATGTTTAGTCTCGTATTAGCCTTTATCAGACACAAAACCCTGATTTGTTTCAATGTGCAGAGCTTTAATTGGCCAAACAGATACACAGATTAAAAAAGGCACAGAAAACTATGTATCTACTTAAAACTGAATAAAAAGCTGTTCAAAACAAGAACAGTGGAAAAGACAGGGCATTGGCAGACCAAGTAAAAGCTTACCAACATAGCACTCAGGTATCCTCAATTACATACATATACATTGCAATATTAGGTGTGAGGGGCAGGAGGTTCCTTTTCTGTAACATTGAAAAAATAACAGTAAACAGAGGGGTACAGGTCATATTTGGTAGAGGAAGGTGCTGTTTGGTAATTCCCTCGAGGGCTGCATTCACAGCTTTCACAGTCCTTCACCATAGCAGCCCAGAGGCTCACTCTCTCAAACCATTGTGGTTAGCTTGTCTATGAGATCATCAATGGTGTACACCATAAGCTTGATGTCGTCCTTCTCAGACATACGATGCTGACCATGTCGCCTTAAGATGACATCGACATCTGGACTAAGGACACGCTCAGCCACCTGCATGGAGATGTGCCAGGGGACATCCTCGTCTTTGAGCCCATGAATGAGGCGGACAGGGCAGGTGATGGGGATGGGACTCTGGAGAACACAGTGATTTTCTGCCTCACGTAAAAAGTCCATGTTAAACTTATAAAACCCCTCCTCTGAGTGTTTTGTAGGTAACACCCACTCTCCTTTTTCTTCAAACTCTTTTCGTGTCTGTGTATAAGGAGAGGAAAAAGCAACTGATAAATAATACATTTGATTACAGTTTTAAATACTAAAAACACAAATAAATATACATCTGAAAATAAAAATAAAAAATATATAGAATTTAACCCTTGTCCTATCCTCAAACGGATACAGAGGGGTAAAAATGTGACCGGGTCAAATGGACCAAAAGATATATAGGTCCATTAGACCCGGTCACATAACAGCCATGTGACTTGGCCTTACATTGTCTCCGTTCTTCGTGTGCCTTGTGGTGTTTATGCACTTTATTTATTTGGAAACTGTTTTTAACCTCATTTGTACCCCTCTGTATCCCTTTGAGGATAGCACAAGGGTTAAACAGCAATTTCTATAACTGTTATGTTGTAGTCTCACCTCCAGTGGAAGAGAGTTAAATGATGTCACGATGTGGTCAGCTGCAGTAGAGATGCCCACGAGAGCAGCTATTTTCTCTGGCCGTGCTATTGCTGCCAGCAACATCAGCCACCCACCTGTACTTGACCCTACCAGTATCTGGAAAGACCAAAGGGACTATATGATATACATTGGCACGTAGTGAACAAGCAATCAGAAAGTATATACTGCCACCCTCAGGACACACTATGCAACTACAAGATTGTTTTATGCAGTCCACAAGTTCCTCATTTTAAATGAGAAACATTATGCATAGCAAATTTTTAAGAGCTTTTCACCATGTTATATTAGTTTGCCCTCATCATCATTAACCTCACTCGAAGTTGTATTTTCATTGATTCATGCATGAATTTACTATCTTGCATTGGAGGCATCAATGCTTTGAAAATAACCAATTTTTACCTACCCCCAATACAATGGGTTTACAAAAAGGTTTTATATATGGACAATAAGTCGTTTTAGATCAGTTTTGTGATTTACACAGATGTACAATGTAAAATAATATGTACACCAGAAAAACCATAATGTTTTCTTTAACAGTTCTATCAAAAAATGCAGTGCTGACCTGAGGTCCTTCTGCCAATTCATCCAGTACAAAAAGAACATCTTTTTTCCACGTGCCAATTGTTCCTTCTGCAAAGACTCCTTCTGATGCCCCGTGCCCTGTGTAATCAAACCTAAACAAACAGAAAGAGTAAGATGAAAGATTAAAAAAAACATGGTGATGAACTATTGTGCACAGATGTTTTCAATTGTGTTATCATTTTATTGCTTTTTCTTCTTTAATTCATCTGTGGGTTTTCTGTTTAACTGATAGTTGGTGAATTGATCAAAAGCTGCACAAATGTTCATACTGGTACTGTACTGCGAGTAGTTTGTGCTCATGCTGCCCAGGAGTGAAACCTGGGACCTCCTTGCTCTGAAGCAAGACTGTGCCTCCATCTAGTGTTAAAATATCCAAGTTGGTTTTAGTGTTTATGTGCTTGGGTGATTTGCAAAGAATGTCTCACCTTAGACAAGAGTGACCTAGTGACCTGCAGAACTCCTCTAGCGCCTCCCCCTTTTGTCCATTCATGTTAGAGCCATACCCAGGGAGAAAGACTACACCTGGGGTCTTTCCTTTCACTCTTCTGTAAGCTAGTTTAGGGAGGTCTGGTCGTGGGGCATATTGAACTGTGGACTTGTGTCTGCTGTCGACTGTGTGGGGCAGAACAAAGGGTCTGTTACACAATGTACAGGCAGTCATTCCTGACGCAGAGACGCATTTAATAATATTGTATCAACAAAGTAAATACTAAACTGACACAAAGAAACATTACGCTATAAATGGACCGTACGAAGCTAGAAGACCATGCTTATAAATTAGTATAAACGGCTAAATCATGATCAATTATAACATACCGTAAACATAAGAAAGCAAATTCAAAGTCGTTAACAATTATCGAGGATAAAACCTACAGGGCTAAATTTTGTTTTAGGCGCAAGGAGCGCACAAACATGCCCTAAATGTACCACTCCGCACTCTGTGTGCCACACCCCCTTCGAGGCTTTTAATGGTCGTTTTAGAAAAATCAGTAAACATAAAACACCTCACAGGTACAATAAATAATACGACATACCTTTCAGGTATGTTGTAGACAGAGCAGACAATCCTCCATTAGTAAAAATCTGTGAAAGTCCTCTGCGACAGGACCTCAGCGCTACGGCAGCCATACTGCTGGCGACCCACCGATGAAGTATCGCGAGAAGGACAGTCTCGTCCCATCTGAAGCGCTTTACATACAGTCCAGTGACTTTATGTGTAGGCTACAGATAATTAAACAAACAGGCTTCTTCAAGCACAGCCCAGAACTGTCACACAGATCTTGGACAAAAAAATAAATAAAAAAAAATAAAATAAATAAATAAATAAATAAATAAATAAATAAATATATATATATATATATATATATATATATATATATATATATATATATAGCATTCAAGTCCGTAAAACTGCTGGAGACTGGAGTGAAATGTTAAGCCACAAATCAAATCCAATAACCTATCAATTCAGCCTTTAGGTTACTAGTAATATTTCTATTGAACACATTGTTGACTCTAATAAAACTATATGCACGCATTGTGACCAGTTTAGTTTTACAAAGCAGCCTTTACAAGCCTGCACTGCAGTCTATCAGAATGCAGATTTGAGCTTGAGAGTATTAAAGACAAATACATTAGGCATTGCAAATGAAAACAGGGCGTTGTTAAATGTATAAAGATAGATTGTGTTGGTGTATTAATAGCCTGATACTGGTGTGTTTGTGACTGTCATGTGCAGTGGCGGTGTGTAACATGACTCAGAGCGTCATAGGCGGAAGGTCACGGAGCAGCAGAACGGAACGGAAGCGGAGTAAAAAAGCCCATCCGCCATTGTGGAGTATGGTGAGGGATATTTCATTTAGGCACTAGGCACTTTAACACTGACTGAAAGAAACCGTCTGTGCCCTGAGCGGACACGGGGAAGTGAAGCCGTCTACACCGACAGAGAGCCTTCGTTTGGACAAGGCAGAAGACACGCGTCGTCACCAGGTCTGACCGCTAGAGGAAAGGAAAACGCCGCCTCGCAACACTGCCAGAGTGATTGAGCCGAGCTAGGAAGCACCGAGAGCAGAGGGACGCCGTGGACTGTCTCACAAGCACAGCTCCGTGTTGGTTTCTGGAGGATGTCTGCCACCACTGTCGACCAGGTTTGTTTATTGACAGCAAGCGATACAGTGAATTAGCCGGGCGTTGAAATGAAACTTTACTGACGGCGTTTAGATGCAGCCGATGTGTGAAATTAGACAGGCTCCAAATCTTTGATGTGTGGTAGATATTAGCTCTAATGTAGGCCAATAGTAGCCATCGCAAGGTTTAGCTGGTGGGCAATGCGGCACAGGCACAGCTTAGTGGATGTCAGAGCGTTTGACATCCGGTCAATAAAGCGAAGCAGCAACCTGTAAATGCTAACATCCGGCTCCTTGTGAGGTTACAGTAGTCTGGTGTGTCCAGACCATACACTGTACTATACTGTCCATTCCAGACATGAGTCTGGAGGCACTAGCATGCAGCTGCTAACTATGGTGTTGTCCATACTTATGTTTGTTCTGGTTGTTTTCTTCTAGAGGCCAAAAGGACAAGGAAATAAAGGTAAGGTGATGCTTAATTATGTAGGTCCCTTTTTCAATAATTGTGTTCGTATAGGCTACAAGTTTATCTATTTTTTTTATGTTGTACGCGTGGTAAAGTGTTTTTGTTTTTATTTTAGTACAAAACGGATCAATGCATCAAAAAGATGGTGTGAACGATGATGACTTTGAACCTTACCTAAGCGGCCAGACAAATCAAGTAAGTTGTAATGACTGTCCTATGGACTATAAGGTGGATTTAAGTCTAAATAAATTATTCTTATTTTTATTTTACAGAGTAATAGCTATCCACCAATGTCGGATCCCTATATGCCCAGCTACTACGCTCCATCCATCGGTTTCCCCTACTCTCTGGGAGAAGCGGCTTGGTCTACAGCTGGAGACCCTCCAATGCCATACCTTACTACCTATGGACAAATGAGCAATGGCGAGCCCCATTTTATACCTGATGGAGTGTTCAGCCAACCAGGCGCTCTTGGGAATACTCCTCCTTTCCTTAGTCAACATGGTTTCAACTTTTTTCCTGGAAATGCAGACTTTTCTACCTGGGGTACCAGTGTCTCTCAGGGTCAGTCCACACAAAGCTCAGTATACAGTAACAGCTATGGGTACGCTCCCAGTTCTTTGGGCCGGGCCATCACTGATGGACAAGGAGGGTTTGGTAGTGACACTCAACTCAGTAAGGTACCGGTGCTGAGCAGCATCGAGCAGGGTATGGCAGGGCTAAAACTGGGTACAGACATGGTGGCTGCAGTCACCAAAACCGTGGGCTCACCTTTAGGGGGCACACCAGGCATGAGCAGCATGGCAGCAAACAACCTCCCCCCATCTATCAGCTCCTCTGCACCTAAACCTGCCTCCTGGGCAGCTATTGCCAAGAAACCTGCCAAACCACAACCTAAAGTCAAACCAAAAGCCAACATGGGTATGGTGGGAGGAGTCACCATCCCTCCCCCTCCCATAAAGCACAACATGAACATAGGGACATGGGATGATAAGGGCTCCCTGAACAAGGCTCCGTTAGCTCAGACCATGATGCCCCCTCAGCAGCTGGTGCAGCAGCCACTCTTGGCCCAGCCCCCGACGTTACTGCAGAGCCCCCTGCCTCCCCAGCCTCAGCACCAACCACAACACCAGCCCTTCCAGCTGCAGTCCCTCCAGTCACCCCAACACCCTCTGCCCCCTGCTCCCCCACACCTGCACATCCCCTCCCAGCCGGGTCCGCCACACCACCTCCATCATCATCATCACCATCATCAGCCGCCTCAGCAGCCCGGCCCACCCCCAAACCGCTGGGTGGCACCCCGGAACCGGGGTGATGGCTTTGGTTTCGGTGGGGGTGTCCCATTGAGCGCCTCTCCTTGCTCTGGAGAAGTGCATCCTGTATTAGAGAAACTACGGGCTCTCAACAACTTCAATCCCAAAGACTTTGACTGGAACTTGAAAAATGGCCGCGTTTTCATTATCAAGAGTTATTCAGAAGATGATATCCATCGCTCAATCAAATACTCAATCTGGTGTAGTACAGAACATGGAAACAAGCGCTTGGATGGTGCCTACCGCTCCCTGGGCAACAAGGGTCCACTATACCTGCTGTTCAGTGTCAACGGCAGTGGGCACTTTTGTGGCGTAGCCGAGATGCGCTCCCCTGTGGACTACAATGCCTATGCAGGCGTATGGTCTCAGGACAAGTGGAAGGGCAAGTTTGAAGTAAAATGGATTTTCATTAAAGATGTGCCCAACAACCAGCTACGGCACATTCGACTAGAGAACAATGACAACAAGCCAGTGACCAACTCCAGGGACACGCAAGAGGTGCCTCTGGAGAAGGCCAAACAAGTGCTAAAAATAATCGCCACTTACAAGCATACCACCTCAATCTTTGATGATTTTGCACATTATGAAAAACGGCAGGAAGAAGAGGAGGCTCTGAGGAAGGTGAGCTAAGCACATACTCTATAGTGTTGAGTGTTTGTATTCATGAAAAAATATATGTCTTTTATACACTTTATACTGTGATTCTTCACTCACACACTGTTAAAGGCTACAAGCTGATCTGTGTAACCTGCTCTCTGTGGTTTGTCCGTCTTGTGGCTAATTCAAGTGCAAAAAACAGATTGACAAATCACTGCTAGTCCCAGGCAAACCCCGATATTCTCATCAGTCCTTGTTACAGAGATGGTGATGATCAGCTCAAGTGGAGTTAGATGCGGAGAGGTTTCCTGAAATAGGCCACATTCCAGGCATTCCTGCTTCCAGACAAAGGCAGATGCTGGCTCTGATCTCCCTTTGAACACTCAGCTCTGTGCCCTGCACAGCTCCTCATGCTTTATTAGTCTTTAACAACATAAGCCCCTGTGCTGCAAACAGTGCCGTTTGCCTCTAGGTTTAAAATGTCTTCCAGCTGAACGTGATGTCTGTGTTCTTGTATTAATCAGACAGAGGAAGCTACTGGATGTGTCACTCACTGTTTTTATTACAATATGGAAAGCTTCTCCAGACACAGTAGCTATGCAGGGTAATCACTGGTGCACACTATGCCATTCTAATTTAGTTTAGAAAACCCGTTGGTCCCCCACTGATGGTGCTCCATTGATGTTCCGTTTGGCTCTCACCACTGACCTTGTTAATATGCGCTGGGTTACTTTCTCATAAATATTTCAAGTCAGTGTTTTCAGGCTTCTGAAAACAACCTGTCAGTAGAGCGGCTGTTTCATCCTGGTAGTGCAGGCGCTGTGCTGTGCTGCTTTTGTAGCTCTGACCTCCTACATGACAGGCCCAGCCCTGCACAGGCCTCGTCCTCCTCGGCCTGACAAGGTTAATTGTTGTCTATTGTTTGGCCTGTCTTTTCTCCATTTGAAAGCTGTCAAATCAGCACCATCTCCTCACAGTACAACATCTTTGATGTTTTAGGATGTATTAGAATCACAATAATGCCGCATTATCCATTTGTATCTTAACGGTACACTATGGAACTTTTTTGGTTGGGAACCCACCACCTACTTGTCTGCAAGGAGACGTTATTTCTTTGTTTAAAATGATACACAGTATGACATTACTCTTATTGATATTACATATTAGAAGACAAAGGAGTTTATTACTGTAACAAATATCTTGAAAAACCTGTGAGGACCGAGGGAGCTCGCTACTCCAAAGTTAGAGGCCAGATTGACCTCTTTTAATATCATCTTTAGGACAGTTTATCTGCAGATACAGACACTGAATGAAGTGTTTCAGCTCAACAACATATCAAACAAAGTAAATCTACATCAGTCAGATTTGGCTGTCATCATTTAATGTTTTTTCTTTATGTTTAGTACTTTCTACATTTGTAAATATGTACTGAAAACATCAAATATATGAAGCAAGGTATATAGAAGTATGTAACAAAGATAAGCATTTTAAATGACTTTAAATGTAGATTCAGAATCCTCACAGTAGCCATCCTTTGCTTTGTTGACAGCGCTGCAAAACCTTGGCCTTCTCCTTCTTGGGCTTCTCAACAAGCCCAATAATGAAGTCACCTGAAAGTCGGTGCAAAGCAGTGATCAAAGCAAAGGGTGGCCATTTTGGACAATCTATTTATATATATTCCATATATGTTCATTCATAGTTGTGAAGCTTTCTACGAGAATCTACTATGTAAATGGTAATGAAAAGAAATATGAAATATTAAACTAAAGTGTGTCCAAACCTTTCACTACTAGTGTACATTCAACAACAGACAGAGACACACAGAGACACACAGAGACACACAGAGACACACAGAGACACACAGAGACACACAGAGACACACAGAGACACACAGAGACACACAGAGACACACAGAGACACACAGAGACACACAGACAGAGACACAAATTCAAGTTTTGATGCAGCAAATTGTTGATGTTGTTCCACTGCGCATCTGTTGCCTTTGTGTCTCAGTCAAAGGTCCATTTGATCACACATGTATAATTTAACATTGCCACAACAGTGATTAGTGATTCATATTTGCTTTTGCTTGTAAGTAACTTGTACTAATGACTAATGTTACTTTTATAATACATTTCTTTCTGCAACCCTCAGGTTTCAGACTATTTGTCTGTGTTGTGTAAAAGGAAAAAACATTTTAAAATGCAGTTGCATTTTACAACTAGAATTGCACCTCTTGTTCTGATACTGACTGTCTCCTGTGTCTAACTAGGAACGCAATAGAAGTAAACAGTAACCTTCAAGCAAGTTTTTCTTCAACAACCACAACACTAAAGATGATGGACCTTAAACAAAATCTGCCTAACTGAGAGGAGAAGAGGCTTTCCACTGAAGACAATGTATCTGGACACTTAAACATGACAGTAGAGGAACTCATTTGTATCTGTTGACTAGTGTTTGTATCATTCAAAAAAACGTAACTTCTTTAGAAACTGTCATTGAAGCACTTTGATTCGTTCTTAACAGCCTCTATTCCAACACCCTCGTCTCTTAAACTTGTTTTGATTTGTTTATGAGCAAACTAACTGACTAACAAGACTAGTCAGAATATGTCACCAGGCTAACATCATTTTTAATGCCTCAATCTTTTGGGATATAGCAGAGGGCTCCTGCAGAGATTTATAGATGAAATGTATAATGAATCTAGTACTTGAATCAGTATTCAGCTGCCTGGCCACCCTCAGACAGGCCTGTGGGAAATTGACAGCCACAATTATGCCAATCATGAAATGTATCCTCGCTCTACCCATTTACATTGGTTTATGCATTTTTTGTTTACCAAAAGAGTTCTGCAGCAGGCTGAGATAGTGGGCCAGTGCATACCTTTTGTTTTCTCATGATTCTGTCATTCTCAAGTGCATTGTTTGAGGAGAAACTTGCTGCTTTGGTAGAGTTTGCAGTGGCCCATTTCCTGCGGGTCTTTTTTTCACATCCATGTTCTTGACTGTACCTCAGGCTCAATCAGACTGTCTGTCCTTATCAACACGAGCACTTTTGGGTGAACTCCCCACACCTTTGTAAGCTTCACTGGGATTCCCCCAAAACAGCAAGACATAATCTATAGGGACAGTTTTCTCCTCAAGGTAATCACTAGCTAAATAAAATCTATTATTAGAGTAAGCCTCTGTCTCTTTGATTATTTTGTACAGCGCTAGTACACTGGCATAGGGAAAGAACTTCACCTTTAGCATGATTTCATCAGATTACAAACATTGTCAATAGTTTATGTGGCCACTAGAGTGCGCCATTGTATCGTTACTTCTGTCAGTCCACGTTAAACATAATACAGTACATAGCTCCTTCAGTGAGATGCAAAGCTCCTTTCTTCTGAAGCACCAGTACAAGCACAATTATAGCAGGATGAGAAGCACTTTTGTGTTTTCAAAGACCATTCTTGCAATTAATGTGATCTCACCAAGCTGCGCAGTGAGAGGAGGAGAGGAGAGAGAGGTCCTCATTTGTGTTTGTCAAGGGGAAGAAAGGGCTGTAATTATAACATTGGAGGCTCTGGATTGCAACTTCTCTCCTCAGTGTGTTAATTTGTGCATCCATCAGGTTTTCACAAGCAACCTTTGAAAAGACCACACTGCTTTCATCTGTCAGTGAACACAACAAAGTCAGTAGAAAAATTATCCACCTCACAATTCTCATAGAAATGATAGATCTGAAATGTTCAAATTGTCATAAAAACTGATGATTTTAATAAGAGACATCATTCTTTGCGGTTGAAATATGCCTGGATAGCACATCCTTTGTGAGCGCAGTACTTGCTGTGCTAATAGTCATTATAATGAAACTCGGATAAATATATTCACTGTGATACCAATCCAACCAACCCACGCAGTTCTTTCATGCAGATCCAGGCTCATCGTGTCATTAACAATACGTGATGGTTCATTGTCAATTTGGCCGAAGCCGGAGGAAATGCCAGGCAAAGTTTTCTGCATACAATCCAAACATCCTTATGGAGGAGGCAGATGAGACACTGCCTTTGAAGTATTCATATGGCACACTTATCAACACTTGGCTCTAGGCAAGGTTAGGGCAAGTCTCAGGGTTGACATGTCTGCCATGTTTCCCAAGTTTTGCTACTGCAGGCCATAATAAGAAATTCACAAACATTAGCCTTATTGACATCTGTGGCATTGCACTGACACTGAGCTGCCTTTAATGTATGCACAGAGAATATTTTAACATTAAGGTTGGGTCATATTAATTTATAGGCCTATAGGATTATTCAGGTGCTGGGTGAAGTCATTTGCATTATATAGGATTTGTACAAAAGGACTTTCTAACAAACAGGGATGTCTGAGTTGTCTTCTGCAAGGTGTCTGTGTTGCCATGGTTATATCAGTATGTGTGAAGAAGAAACATTTTGATAACAGAAATTGATCTCTAAGCACTTGAGCCCTCATCCGTCTCATGCAAATGTCAAGCAGTTAAAAAAGCTAAAAAAAAATACATCAAGTAAGCTCCATAATAATCATACATGAAAGATGCGTTAGGAATAAATGTGTTAGAATTTAATAATAAAATAGAAAACCCAAAGTAACTGAGTGGCTAATAACAGGACTGTCTTTGTAGCCCACAAGGTGGCACTACTAGCAATTACTCTGTTAGTCTAACTATCGCTGAAAGAAATTATGGCTATTTAACCCATTTAGTTTAATTGATGATTATGTGAGTTTCACTTTGTATTGTGAAAACTGGTGGATTCCTAACTTTCAAAATGCATCCATCTTTTATAGCCCAATACTATAGCCTTAACAATATATTTATGTGTTGTATGTGTTGTATGTGTGTCTGTGTTTTGTTTTGCACACAAGCATAGCAAAGGACCAAACAATAATTTCAAATTTGCCAAGGTAAAACAATACTGCCCCATACCAGAAATGTATACAGTGCAATTGCTGTAAACTGTCTTTTTTAATTGCTGCTAAGAATAAAACTAAATAACTGTCCTCCAAGTTGGAAAAGCCTCCCCCTGGTGCCTATTGGATTACACTCATTAAGATAATAAAGTTAATGCACAAACTAATGGAGTGGCTAAGTACTGTTTAAATTGAGAGATTATTGTGCAATTGCTGTTCCTTTATCTCTAGTTATTTTCTTTTTACTTTCTGAAACAGTCATGCCTTAAGCCATAACATTATGACAGGTGAATAACATTTTGTAATTTGCTAACATCTTTAAGGGGCTCAGAATCTCAGATAGACATGCCCTGCAACAATGCATCAAGCAATCACTGATGGACTATAATAAACAGCATTTAACTTTAATACATGTATGCTTGTCATATAAAAAACACATTGCTTTGCTTCTTGCCTGGTTTACATTGGCCAATCACGATAACACATTTTGAAGCATGATTGCTACAGAGATATACTGCAATCAATGATAACATTAAAACTACTGTATGCCACTGACAAAAAGCAGGATAATTACAGTAAACCCATTTTAAATAGACAGTATCATTAAAAAGCTCCAACAAATTAATGGTGGAGTGAACTGATATTTAGCCATGGCAGCTATTTATTCTACTCTCTGCAGCTCAAATCTTACCATATTACATAAAGAATAGCTGAAATTTCCCCACAATGGCAAAGAAAAAGTCCCCATGATAAATATTGAACCCCAAAATATACAGTTACAACTTTTATATTGAACCATAAGTCAATATTGTAATTACTGTGACAGGCCTAGGTTTGGATTTGTTCATTTGAATTAAGAATAACTATTAGCAAATATGTGTTCATTTTACACCTAATATGAAAAGTACTTCTGTTCCTAATGCAGTGAATTAGTCAGCAGTCTAAGAAAGCGATCCTCACAAGTCTGGATTGGCCAATGTACAAAATATTTATAATGCACAGCCATGGGGGATCATTTATGGCCCAGGGTCATTAATTAACTGCTGCAATGTTTCCGGGCAACAACCAGTTAGATCTCTGCATTGCCGTCGGTGTTAGCTAGAAGCCTTTTTTATATAGAGACTGAACATAAGAGCGCTAACGTCAATTAATATACATGCCTTTCCTGACGTCCTTCGCCATAATTTATCTCCCATCAAAAGAGGACTCTTTGTGTATTCTTCTTTATGTTCATTTAAATTGGCACAAAGGCTGCAGTGTCTGTCTGTATACTTGCAGATGTTTTAAGCACACCTGAACAACATTATTTATTCCAGAGCTTGAGAGCAGGTCGTGCCCAGGCGGCTTCTTTTCGGTCAATCTACTATTTAATTCATGGCTTGAAGTCTAGAGAGAAAAAGAAAAGACTGAAATAAAAATAATAGAGGGGCTTGGATGCATTACGGATGGCAGGAGTCAGTAATATCTATCTATAATATCTACTATGCTGCACTAGCCTCTTAGGACACTTGGCTGGTTGGTGTTCATAAATTTGAATCTACAGAGAAAATAATAGTGAAAATGCATTAGCTTCTACTATAGTTTATAGCTGGTCTGGCTTTTTCTACTACTTTCTCCCAAGCCTTATTACATTCATTCAACGGCTGGAAGGTGGCCCGTGAAGGGATGACATGTTCCAACCGAGTTTTGGCATCATGGGGGGTCAGTGGCAGAATGGAACGCTCAGAAAAAGTAATGCATTTGAAATGAAAAGGTGGAATGAAATATGACATTGGCCCACCACAGCTGAGGCCTGGACAGTACTCTGGTTATAGCGCGGCCAGGTCTGTAATGTGATGCTGGACTCCCTTTTTGCCTCCCGCCACTTCCGGTTTCATCCTGATGGAGATTAAGGGCCATTAAAGGCTCTCTGCTGCATGTGCAGTTTCTATTGATCACATCGACTCGACCCACTGTAGCCAATGATCCGATTACAAGTGTTGTACCCCATCTCCCCCTCCTCTTCCCCCACCTCCTGGTCTCTTCTTCAGGTTCAGAGCACTCATGTCTGCCTATATCCGATGCTGTTCCCTGCCATAGTGTGCCCACCTCTCATCTCCAGACACAGCAGGTCTGTGATCAACCTTATTTTTACAGCAGAGAAATGGATTGGCCATGCCCCAAAGAGCTAAATGAGTTGAGACAGTGTGCTCGGACTCTCTGTCGCCCCCGCCCTCAGAAAACCCCTCCTCTGCTTACATAGTCAAACAGCCCTGGGGGAGCTCTCCAGCGGACCACTATAGTTATTAGCATTGACAAGGACTCACGGAAATCTGCACTGTTTCCACTGTTCAGGAAGTTCTACTTTGCTGCTTATGTATGGGGGAATCCCATACAGATCATGCTGTAATATTAAAGGCCTACTGCTATACTTTTCCATATCAGACCCAAGTCAAACACAATAAAATTCAACATTCATGGTGCTGGTTGTCGTCTTGTCTTCTACAAACACACACACAAAACACATAAGACAGAAACCACATAATTACCCATTAATAAATTTGCATAATCAAGATTTGACCTCATTCATAAAGCTGAAAATGTTGTAGCCCATAAAGGGTGACTCATAGAGGAGGATGAAATTAGCTGAATTGACATTTAAGAGCTTTTAACCATTAACAGTTTTCCCTTGTCATTATCATTAGTTTACTTCTGCATTTGAGTCTAGAGTGCTGTCATCAACCCCCGCCTATGTCTCTTACTTGCGATTATTTGAAAAATCTAGACCCTGAGGTCTATGAGGTTCAATGGCAAATGAAAATCTACTGTTTCCTACAGTGAATTACCACTCTGGAGAGTCAGTTCACCAGTTTTGAACTGAAAGTAAGTGGACCCATTTCTATCTGTCATTTGTGTTCAATATTGCAGTTTACATTGAAGAAAAAATAAAAATAAATCATAGTTGCAGGTATGCAGGAAAAAGTATATGTTTTCTTTAAGCATTTTATAAAATCTTAAATAGTTTATGGAATCCCATACTATTTGTACAGTTTGAGGCTCATGACTGAAATGCTTCTTTTCAGGCATCTCATGCGATCAGCTAACTTTGTAATTCCAACTTCAGGGCCAATCATATACAGTATTCTGCCAGGAAAGAAATGCCTATGTGAATGCTCCAGGGACAGATAAATAAAACAAATTGCTGATGTTTTCAAGTTTATCTATAGACAGAATAGAAATGTTGACAGAATTAGGTCTGTATGCTGCTGT